AAAAAATCTTTAAAAAAAACAGCAAGGCTAAAATTACTCAGTTGAGTGTTGTGGCACATAGGCCTCTTAAGTTAGGATGAACTAAAATTGGATCAAAATTTACATAATACATGTATACAGGGTATAAAAGATTCATCTCCAGAACAGCAGAACCCTTTTAGTCATACTGATTTAGAAACATCCCCATACAATGTGGATTCAACTTTAGTTAAGTGATCAACCTTTGGTTTGGGTCAAAATATGGGATCAAAATTTTTCATGGGAATGAAAAGTAATAAACTTTTAAAAATCTTCTGATGAAAAATAGCAGGGCCAAGATTACTCCTGAGAGTTGTATGGCCTTTGGACTTGTATTTATTTCTGACATGAATTTGAAAAATTTACCTTGTTTTCATGCATTAAGCATTTTACTTTCATACCCTCAATATATAGACATTATATAGTGGTTACAGTTCCTATAAGATATACATTGAAAATGAATTATAAGAAAAAAAATGTAAAAAATGTTATTGCAAGTTTCCGTAGTGCACATATTACTATATATCTAACAGTAATATTGCGTAACTTATTTATTTATTAATATAGAATACAAATATTTGATTTTCTTCACTTGTTTCTTAGTATTTTGAGCAATAAACAGATTGTCATTTGTATCTGTACACAGTCCCCAGGGTTCACTCAGTTCACAATCTATGTAACGGAGGAACTGTCCATCCTGGTCTATGATGTGGACACAGTCATTGTTATAATCAGCTGTAAGGATGTGACTCTGACTGTCTGTGGTGATTCCTCGTGGACTGAATGGTTCATTCTTTGGAGCAGGAGTATGTCCAGTGTACCTGAATCTCAGTTTCCCAGCCTGATTGACCACCAGTACTGCTTCATCTCTTAAGTCAGACACACAGATATCCAGGTTCCTGTTCTCTGTTATGTATCTGTAATAACCACCAGATGAATAGAGGGGTTTACCTTTATCATCAAACTGAATGGTTTGTTTCTCAGTGGAGCCAGAGTAACGGACAACTTTTGTTTGTTTAATGTAATCATCACTGTTCAGGATAACCAGGAGGTCACCAGAGGAGGTACTACAGACACCGTTAAGTTCTCCAGTTCTGTAGTCTGATCACCTCCTCTATCTTCTCATTCTTCACAATGTTCACAGTTCTGTAATCAGTATAGACTAGATCTCCACTTTCTGTCACTGCTATGTCATATGGTGAGTTCCCTGACTTGGTTGTGATTGACTTGAGTAGTGATCCCTGATTGATGCTGTAGAGTTTCATGGTGTTGTCATCTCCACTTGTCCAGATTTCCTTATCACTCAGACAGGCTACATTGTAAAGTTTTAATTGATACTCAGTGTATATGGTGGTGACAGTCTCTGGTTGATCAAGCAGCTGTTTGACTGGAGGAGAGGATCCAGCTTCTGGTGATTTCTGTAGTGACTTCATGCTGTAGCCATGTTTATCTGAAGTCAAAGAACTTGATGATAAGGCTCCAAACATTTTCCTTAGGTCTTCTCCTTGGATTTTTCCTGGAATGAATTTGGTTAAAGATAGTAGATTTTATGTGGAAGATTTCTGTATATATGAACTTTGGATGTTATACTATAAAGTTTTGACAAGTCATTAGTGTCTATAGCCATTTCAATTGAATTGATTTCATCCTTGATGTCAGACATTTTCTTGTTTATTTTATCCAGATGTTTCTGTAGAGTTTGTAACTGTGTATTTTTCATCTCATCAACTTCAGCTTTAAGTTTCGTGACAAGTTTGTCAATTTCTCTGTGCCAGTCCTCTCCATGTTTTGTTATGGCTGTTGAGAGATCTCCATATTCCTTTTCTAACTGACTCATTCTGTTTTGTACATCAGAGGCAATGTCCTCGTAGGTTGGGTAAATTGTGTCATTTAATTCATTTCTTTCTTTTAAAAAAATATCTTTCTTTTCATCTAGAACTCGCAAGATTTAAGATAATTCATGACCTAAATGTTGATTAGATTCCAGGCAGGTGATGCAGACAGGAATGTCACATTGTTTACAGAACATTTTACATCTTTCTTTGATATGAGTTGTACATCCAGGGTAGAGTGGGGTGGATTTCCTAGCATGAAATTTGACGACTTTGTGATCTTTTGATTCACCTGTTGAGATGTGTTCTCCCACACAGGCCTTACACAGGTTGACAAGACATGTATCACAATGCATCTGTACCACAGCGGTCTCACACAGGTCACATCGCATCACATCCTGGGCACTGGTACGGGGGTCCATCATAATATGTTGTGACTGAAGCATAAAAAGATTAACACTAATAATGATTATTAGGGATGGCATTGAATATTCGAACATTCGAATATTCATTCGATGAGTTGATATTCGAATATGAATTTAAGATTCTAATATTTGGTGTTTTTCAGATTTCATAAAAAGAAGTACTGTGATTAATAAATTTTGATTAGAACAGTGCTGGAATAATCCCTGTTTAATTTACTAGCGATCAATTTCTTATCTTATCTTATAAATCTACTAAATTACATGTATTTTGTTTTGAGTAAGGTGTTAAAGAATTGTACAATAATGCTTTATGTATAATACAAAACGTACTTTCATATTTTTTTATTAGTTAGATACGATCGGGTCTAGAATCGAGGACAACAAATAAACTCTAAGAATGTCTAAAAGGCGTGAAGAGTATACTTATCAAAATAAAATTAATTGATCATTGAATGAATGTCCGATAGAATTAATCTGTAATTAATATTGTAAAGGGCTTATTTTCAGAATAAATGTGTAAATTACTTGATTATCTCGGGTTGAAATAATCCTGAATTTTGTATTCATAATCGGAAAATTAGTTAATTACCTAGGAAAATTGTCTATGGAAATATTTGTTTACATTGTATCAAAGATTATAATCATATCTCTTATCAGGCAGATAATTGTAATTTATTACACGTATTGAAATCCGAACAGTATACCGTTACGACTATCTTGCCTTTTGTAAGACGACTGGTTCCTCAGTTGGAGCTACTATAAATACACGTTCCATTTGTTAAAAATATACTTTTCTACATTTAAATCAATTATTTATTTCAAACATTGACAAATATCACGTGGAATTTCTTATTGTACACCTACAAAAGTCTTCATACAATTTTACTTCTAATATCAGTATACCTACGCTAATCCTTTTATGAAAATAGGATGATGCATATTTAAGATTATTTAAGATTAAGATAAAACAGATTTTATTTATTTTATCGAATATTCGAATATGTTCGAATACTTTCATTGAATATTCGAATATGAATTATTGACAAAATTGACATTCCTAATGACTATACATTTATTGACTGGATTTGAGGGCCAACAAAAGTTTTTTTTTCAGAGCAGAGAATCACATTATAGACCTGAGACCATTAAGCAGAATATGACCAAACCACCTAACCTCTACAGTTCGGCTCTTTGCAGATGATACCATAGTATATTTAACTATATCATCGAATTTAGATTGTCACACCCTTCAAGAAGACCTTGATAAACTCTCTCTTTGGGAAACAAAATGGAAAATGGAATTTCATCCAGATAAATGTACAGTACTTACAGTTTCAAAAAAGAAAAACCCTATCATTTACAACTATACCCTTCACAATCATATACTCGTCCATGAAGAATCTACAAAATATCTAGGCTGTACTATAACATCCGATCTAAATTGGGGACTACATATTTCAAATATCTGTAAGAAGGCAAATAAAACTTTAGGATTCCTACAACGCAATCTCCATATATCATCCAGATCAATAAAGGCGAGAGCATACATATCTCAGGTAAGACCGCAGCTGGAATATGCTTCGACAGTTTGGGACCAATACCAACAAGGTCACAGAGATATGTTGGAAAAGGTGCAAAGAAGAGCGGCACGATACGTCATGGGAAAATACAGAAATAGATCTAGCGTAGGAGAAATGATTAAATATCTGGAATGGAAAAATTTAAAAAGAAGAAGGAAAGATGCAAACTTGATCATGATGTATAAGATAATAAACAACAAAGTAGCCATCAGACCAGAGGGCCACTTCACTTAGCCTGTAAGAAGATCGCGGCACACAAAACAACACTCTCTTGCTATACCATCTGCAACCAAGGACTGTAGAAAGTGGTCATTCTTCTGTAAAACCGTTAAAGAATGGAATAACCTGCCAGAGGACATCGCGGCAGCAGAATCACTCGAGATCTTCAAATCTCGAGTGACTAAAAAAGACTAACTTGTAAAATCCTTTCTTTTATCCAGTTTTTAAAAAAACAAACAAACAAACAAATAAAAAAAAGTTTCTTTTAATCATGTAAACATGCGCACACCCAACTGGCAAAATCTTCAACTTGTTGAAGGCGGCCCGATAGAGGAAGAAGACTACAAGTCATTATATATAAGATTCATGAATTCACACATTGAGTCCTTGACATAAACAAATTGTGTTCCCATGGTTAAAGCGTACAGTATTGACTTTTCAATTAAGAAATAAGATATCATTTATAGCGTTTCATTGGGATATGACATGAATTCGGTCACGTGATCAAATTCTATAACGCCCGAAGGGCGTTATAGTAGATTTGATCATGTACCGACTTTATGTCGTATCCCAATGAAACGCTAAAAATGGTATTTTATTTCTTATATTTATATTTTCACTTTTTATTCGTGTTAAAGGAAAATAGGCACTATTTAGACTTTGTTATGGAAATGCAACATAACGTATCTACGACGTCATGTGACGTCACAATCTGAACTTTCCAAATAGCTCGTGCAGTTTGCTTTCCATACGCAAGAAAGTCTGATCATGTGACCAACTGCATGTCATTGAAAATTGAATTTCAATTTAATTAGTATTGTCATATAAGGAAGGACATTAGCAAATGTAAATATTGATTTTTAAAACAATTTTAACATTTTAAAATCCCAAAAATTCTTGAGTTACTCCTATGTTTATTACCTGACTTCAGTAATGGCGGCCGTCCTGTCTACCGATCTCTGGTATGCTTTCTGATCAGGTGACACACTTACCTGTGTTAGCTACCTTTCAGGTTTTTTACTTCCTGGTCTAGCAGGGTTTAAACACCTCTAGGACAAAGGCAATGTTTCTGGCTTTCATATAGAATTTTTAAGTGTATTGTGAATGTGTAATAGTACACTGTCTAAACATGTTATATTATGGGACTCTCAATCCACCAAGCCACTCTTCCTTTTTAGATTTTGACAAATGAATGTTTTTTTTTTTTCATTCTCAATGAATTTTCTATTTAAAATGTTGATAAAATTAAGATGCAAAATTTTCACCATATTAAGATTTTTCCGTAAACCTTATATTTTATGTAGTTTATTTATAATTATACACATTATTGCATTCCTATGACATTGAAATATCTCGTCAGTAACTGCAAATATAGATACAAAACACAGGTATACCTGTACTTTTATTTGTTTTAGAGTTATTTCCCATTGTACAGATCTATTATTAGTATTATTCAGTGGTAGAAGAAATCAAAAAGTTAAATTAAAACTGTTTCAGTTATTTGACTGTACTATTTATATCTTGGAGATACTTTTTTTGAGGGGGGGGGGGGTCATAATTTCTAGATGGCGGTGTTTCTTTCACAGTACCTCGACAACTGTTATCAGTACATATATGTTACTGTCATACCCTCCCAGTAAAGCTGTGGTCAATATTGATCTGTTGACTTTTTATCAACTGTTATCAGTAAATGTTATACCCTCCCAGTAAAGCTGTTGTCAATATTGATCTATTGACTCTTTATCAACTGTTATCAGTAACCGTCATACCCTCCCAGTAAAGCTGTGGTCAGTATTGATCTGTTGACTCTATCAACTGTCATACCCTCCCAGTAAAGCTACAGACGTGTGCCATAATTTAACGGCATAAATCCAAGATGGCGTCGCTCAAGCGTGAAGCGTAATGTAAACAAGCTCGGTATACATTATATTCTTGGGGAAAACACATATCTATTTTTAGCTCCTGGTTATTCTTACTTCCGTTTTTAAATTCAAACCGGATGTTTGGTTGTCGTCTGCCTCTGGAAATTTTTACATAGTGTATTTAATCATGGCTGAAAACCGGAAACATTTGTCAAATGACATTAAAAAGGTCATCGTAGATATGCGAGAAAAGCGATATAAGTTACAACAGATTGCTGATGATTTGAACTTTCCCAGAGGAACTGTTACAGGAGTTATCTCTCGTTTTAAACAAAGAAGTGTAGTAGAGAATTTGCCTCAAACTGGACGTCCGCGTTTACTGTCAGTGAGGGATAGTCGTTCGCTTGTTCGGCTTGCTAGGACCAACAGGAAAACTCCACTGAAAGAAATTACCACCCAGTTTAATACCTTTAGACCTCGGGAAGTGTCTAAAAGAACTGTCCAAAGATGTCTTTGCCGGGAAGGTTACCATAGACGCATAGTAAAAAAGAAAGTCCGTGTGAAAGAGGTGAATCGTAAAAAGCTGTTAGCATGGTGTCGAGGAAAACTTTATTGGCGTGTGAATGGTCAGTGGGACACAGTAATTTTCTCTGATGAAAGTCAAGTTGTTTTGGGTGAAATATATGGAGATAACGAACAGTATTCAAGCTCAAAAGTCCATTAATCAATACAAAATAGGAGCAGAGTAAACACGGACCTCCGAACATCAGAGGTGGGATCAGGTGCCATGGAGGAGTGAGCATCCCCTGCCGACCGGTCACACCCGCTGTGTGCTCCTTGTCATGATCGGGAAATAACGGAAAAATCCGTCGACAATTCAGTGTGTAAATAATGGCCTAACAATTAGTGTGAAAAACGTCAGTCAGCATTTGACTCAATGATAAATTGTATTTGCTGACAAGGTCATTGTATCGACCATAGAACTTACGAAATGATGACTTTAAACGAGACAGCTGATATTCTTGTTTCATCAACTTATTTGTCAATAATTTACCTCGTTTTAGAAATTGTACATACGTAGAGCATGCTCTTGCGTATCGAATCAACTGAGAGATATATACCCCGTATGCAGGTGATGAAGGTATCAAAACAATAGGTTCTATATATGGCGCCGAAAGGATGAAGCGGAGTCCCCCGATTGTGTCTGCCCCCCGTCCCAACGAAGAATATCTGTTATGATTTGGGGATGTATAACATATTACGGTGTGGGTACAATTACAACCATAAATGGAACTGTGAATAAACACAAGTATATACTAGATATCCTTGAGGACAACTTGTGGCCCGTTATAGCTACACATTTTCCGAACCAAAACTTTTTATTTCAAGACGATAATGCCCCGATCCACCGAGCCCAAGATGTCGAAAATTACAAAGCAAGGAACAATATTAATTGTATCAGCTGGCCTGCACAGTCACCTGATTTAAATATTATTGAGAATGTGTGGCTAAAACTTAAACAGAGACTGCAACATCTTGTGGGAAATATCACTACCCCCGATGAACTTTCCAGGGCTATCGTAGACATATGGCAAAATCTCCCTTTAATTGGAATATATACGGGGGCTATATAATTCCCTGCCGAGACGCATGAGGAAACTTTTGAGGGTCAAAGGTGAAATGACAAAATATTAAACATCGGTAAGTTATTTTTTTTACTTATTTTATGTTTATTGTTTACATTACGCTTCACGCTTGAGCGACGCCATCTTGGATTTTTGCCGTTAAATTATGGCACACGTCTGTATGGTCAATATTGATCTGTTGTCTCTTTATCAATTGTTATCAGTTACTGTCATAACCTCCCAGTAAAGCTGTGGTCAGTATTGATCTGTTGACTCTTTATCAACTGTCATTAGTAACTGTCTTACCCTCCCAGTAAAGCTGTGGTCTGTTGACTCTTTTTCTCCTAAACAAAGTGTACTTGATTCTTGTTAACCTCAGAAATATATACACTTTTATTGGTTTTCATGGCCTAGAGAGTTCTACATGTAGAAAATCATTTTCAAATATTTTCACCAGGAGTGGGTTACTCTGACTGATTAATAAGTGAAAAACCCGAACGAATCGACCCTTTTTATTCTGGATAAGCTTGTCTTGCCAATGGCCTTTTTTAAAAAAAGAAAAAAAACTGTTCTTTGCAGTGTTTTGTTTTAAATAGATCATTTCATGTGAATTTAATAATCATCATAATTTTCTAGTTTAAATTTAAAGCACTGGAAAAGTAAATTGAGTAACTCCAATATTTTCCCAAACTCCATTTGGGGATCATAACTCCATTGTGTATACATGAGTAGGTTTAAAAAGAAAAAAAAAAGATTTCTGCAAATAATTTTTTTTCCTTTTACATCACCAAAGAAATCATAGTGGTATAGCAAATACACATATTTAGAAAAAGCTTTAAATTGCAAAACAATTTGACAATAAACAATTTTTTTACTCTTAAAAGCAACAAGTCATATTTATGTAAAGGACCTAAAGGTGGTCATCTTCTTTGATAAATTTAAAGTGACCAACTGGTGATAAGTGGCAGAGAAAACAACTATGCAAAATTTTGAATTGCATTTAATTCAAATTGTGGCCCCAAAGGATAAGGCCACAAAAGAGAAATTCAAAAATTTTTATCCTAAAAAACAGGACCAGTGTGACTCATGTGAGTGTAGTGGCCCATGGGCCTTTTGTTACCAGAGTTATCTGTCTTGGCACTGGAAATCCAATGTACTTAGTTACATTTGCACTATATTTTTAATTAAAATTGAGCATCTGTAACTAGATTTTTTTAATGCAAAACAAACTTCCGGAGAAGTACCAGCTTCAGGTTTATCTTCCATTAAAACAATTTAGTACAAAAGCCCCGTAAAATGAATTCAGAATCTGCAAACAGGTTTTGTTTTGTTGTAATCTGTTAGGGGCCTGAAACTTACCTCCTCTTCATATACAGCTCACTAACATTTAAAGGAATCTAAATATTTCAAAAGTAGTAAAATCTAAAATCTTAATCTTGCACATGTAGTTTTCCATCTCAAAGACAATCTTACCAAGAAATGTCTTGATCAGGAAAGGGGATTAGAAATTTTGTTGCCTTAGCCATTAGCCATGTTCTGGTGTGCAGGCAAAAATGATATGGATGCTTTTCTGACTCTAGCTTAGGAATCTAAGGCCCATGAAGCATCCCTTAAACAGATTCAGGGAAGGGGGGGGGGGGGTCCACAGAAATTGACAATATTTAGAATGTTAGATTCTCAGAATGTGCAATGTGGAGATAATGCAAAGTAATTTAACTTTGAATACTGAAAAAATTTATTGAAATATGTTTTCTTACTTGTTGAAAAAATAATGTAGATGCCCTGGCATAAAGCATTACATGGTAGTTTTGCCATTCTGATCAGCTGGAATCTTTTCCTTTGTATCAGAATTATTATTACAGTAGTACCTGTGTTGTACATGTTTTATCTAATTACAGTAATACCTGTGTTGTCTATGTTTGTTTTATCTAATTACAGGCTGTATCCTTGAAGGACCAACCTCATGATAATTTCTTCTTCTACAACGGGATGGAAGGCAGTGGCTTAGTGGACAAAATCTCATCATCTTGACCTCTGAACCCGAGTTTATCCTGGCCTTATATAGTCCATTATGATAGCATGGAATGTAGTCTGTCTTTATTATAATTCATCCCATTTGTCATTTGATATTGTCAAAAAATATTAAATATATGCAAATGCAATTAAACAATATTATTCTGTATACGGCTGTATTTTATGAAAGCAAACAGAAGCAAACCTAGATATGAATTATTCATGATTGCAGTCAGGGAAGGACAGCTATTGTTTGTTTGGATTACTGGGAAAATAAAATGTACTTATTCTTCCATTCAGATGGTATCATATACGCCCTAGTGATAACATTTTTAAGTGTAAACTAAAATTAAGGGTTAAACACAGATTTCAATTCTGCAGTATTGACTTTATTTCTTTTTAAGGCTCACCTGAGCCAAAAGGCTAATGAGTGATATAACATTATGCTGATAAGAGTCTGCTAAATGACTCGTCTATCTGAGATTATGCTTTCCCAATTTCAATTTCACCCCAGAAAATATAGACCTATTTCAACCAAATGTTGCACACAGAATTACTGTAGTGACATGGAGATATGCATGCAGTCAAGCTTGCTTCCAAGAGTATATAGGTGATAATGGTAAAAATAGGACGGAGTTACGTAAATATGAACCTATTCTTGTATCATCAGTCAAATTAAAATGCTGGATTCCCTTGGTACTCGTTAAGATTTACATGTTTGCAAATCATGACCACCAACACAACAATGAGAGCAAAAACAGGGGTATCAAAAGTTTTGTATAGGAATACTTATGGGAAATCTTAGGAAAAGAATGACTAGTATTGGTCAAATATGCAAACACCCACATACATGTAGAGTGTCGACTCAAACATGATCCCCGAGCTAGGATGGGGTATCAAATGAGCTTCAATTGATTAAAATAATGAATCTTTTAAAAAAAAAAAAGACATAAAGTCATCGGCAAAATACAGTAATACATGAATGCAAGCATCTCATCAAATATCGTGATCGATTCAAATTCACAGACCTCGATCTCAAACTAACGTTTATATGATTGGGGGATGGGGGGGATGAGTTGATACCAATTTTCGAGGTGATTGTGATTCCCGGCTGCAGAATTTGCAATATTTGTTTTCATTTCTTGAACAATATCTTTGCGTCAGGAAAGATATTTCCTCAACAAATTTAACGCCCGAGGTTCACAAAAAGAGGGTAGGATAGTAATTGCTATTCATTATGAAGATTAGTACACTGTAACTCCAAAATAGGATTTCTGATGGCATTTTGATACTTAGTTGAGGGGGAAAATGGAACGAATAGAATGAAGTTTGTTGGTTTAAAGGTTAGAGTTCAAGGATATTACAAAACATTAAGAATGCTATATGATACTTCGGAAGAAAATTCGCCAAATTTCTTTCCATTAGCTGTAAAAACCGGATTTAATAAGCAGGAAAACTCTTAACATGGAATGAAAATGTATATTAATTTCCTTGTTTACTCTGCATTTTTTAATGAAAGTAAACAACGTGTAGTTCCTTTATCTGATTTTACTTCCGTAACGTTTTAGAACCAAGATTTATACTTAACTAGAGGCCCCTGGGCCATAATGGTCACCCGTCTCAATGACTTGATACTGCACTGTCTGTATACATGATGATGACTAAAATTTGTAAGTTAACCCTCTAAATAAAATACGCTCAGTCTAAACTGAAAATTAATGTTAGAATTTGAAATAAGACAGGCGATTTGTCTATCGTTTCACCATTGATCGTCTTCATGAGATGCAGTATAGAGGAACACAGATGTACATTGATGTAGTTAATGCACTACGGATTGGTTAGATATTGGTCGTCTGATGTCGGCAAGAAATAAGCCCAGACAGAAACTATTTAGATATGAATCAACTATGAGTATATGAGATAATTGATGAATAGCTGCACTGAATGCTGTATCGACATTTGCATTGTGGTATAAATCCATTTTGACGTTATAAAAGATCTTTTAGCAAATTTCTTATTTTATATATAGGAGTAAGCAACTGTCGATGCTAACAAAATCAAGTTTCTAAAAAAAAAAAAAATAAATGCAGATGTTTAATCGCAAGGAATTAAAAAATTACAAGGTACTCTTAACACTACAAAAGTACACTAATGCCTTTAAATTAAATGTAACTGCCAAGTTGTTCATGGGTTGTTTAAATGTGCAGTTTTTCAATAAGACAATGATAAATCGGTAAACTAAAACGGCAATTTTTTAAATCTTAATTAGGCCCAGACTTTCTACTGTATATAAGTTCTATAAAAAATACTAATAAAATTTTTTAAAGGCTTTTGAGGAAGAATGCCCATTTTTTTTTTTATTCTTGGAATAATTAAATTTTTTCACTTCGTACACACAGTACACCAAAATCGGGGGGGGGGGGGGGAGGGGAGGGGATTCGGGAATTATACTGTTAGGACCATATGTATTAACATAAACCTTTAACGCAAAACTGTTAAAACACTTAAACTTAACAGAAAGATTTAAATTTTGATAAAGATGAAGTAATTCGCCTTCCGGTAAAACTATTCTACCACCAGGTCAAGGAAGGATAACTCGAGTACGTACAAAAGTCTGGTATGTTTTAAGATTCGTCGCATTAAAACTTATGATTTAAAAACATGTTATAATTAAAATGCACACAATTTCAGCATACTTAGCGGAGAAAATTTACTTGACAAAAAATAATTTTTTCATCCCAGTCAGAATTGTCTCTCTTGTCAGCAGATTAAAAATAAAATCTGAAATAGATACTAAAATTCAAATAATTCTTGTAAGTTACGTTATGCATTCTCTATTTTTAGGGGGGGGGGGTACATGAAATATATACATGTACATCTGTGTACAATATATAAAATTTTGTCGTCTCAAAGGACAATCTCTGATAAATCAATAAGCCCTCGGGTAATCCTCCATTGTATGTTTACATCAAACACGTATATCCGCCCAGTTTCAATAAAATACTGACAGATAGCACAATTAAAAAAATACTAGAAAGAATATGTAATGATGCGTGTGTTTAGCTCTCAGCAGATTTTTCTTGTTTACACACTAGTCTGCTGATTACACATCAATTTGTTGTCGATCTGATGCAGAAGCTAACGTTGATGGAATGCAACGGAATCTCCCAGGTCGCTCAAACAAAAAACCTCTGTTTATGAAGGAGAAACTTGCCGACAAAGTTATTTTATCTTTTTTTATATATTCTGTGTGTGTATGCTGTAAACTTGGCTTTGATTCAAACGTGTATCTGCATCAAAAATCACAAGCCTTTTTACACAGATTCATCAGTTTAAAAAAAAGAAAACTTTTATTGTGTAGTACAAATTACGTACAACAAAATAAATTACTTCTAATACACAAATGTATATATATATATTTATATAGACACAAGTAAACTATGCATCTGTTCTCGCTGAACCTTTGTATAAAAGGCACCTGGTATTAAAACTTGTGAATAATCTAGCTATAAATGTAATTCAGCATAAAAATATCATTAATTGCAAAATTCTTATAGTTCCTTTGCCTAGACTTATTTTTTCTCAACAAATAAAACGGGCATTCGACGAATTAATTCCTGAAATGAGTTGTAAGTAATGTGTATACTTTCTTCCCTATTGGTCCAAACAGGACATTTTTTTATTTGAGATTCTGACGAATAACATTAAGAACACAGGCAGTCATAATATACCAATTTACCGCTAATTAAGGCCGATATTGATAACTACAGAGATATTCTATTTATAGCCAGCAGTACAATATAAAACAATTTGTCTGATTAACTTACATATGATAAAACACGAAGGAATAAGGAAGGAATTAAAAATGTCCTTAACTATTCACACTTAAACAATTAATCCTTTTATGTTGTAATTAATTTCAAAACCACTTATCAGATGGTATTGCTGAAGTCACTGGGACGAGGAACGAAATCTCACATAAAAAATAGTTTTTGTTAGTATGGCACCTCGATGTGTATAATTACGTATTCCAAACGAAGACAATTGACATAAATCCAGCAGAATTGATTGAGTCTTGTTATCTAACGTCAAAGTATAAACGTATAAAATCTCCAACGATCTGAGGCGTGGATCTATCTTCTGCCTACAGTGACGGTGGTGGTGGTGGTCCGAGTGGTTCGCACCGCGCCCCCGCTGGATCCGCCGACGATGATGACGTGAGAACGACGATCGACGATGAGCAGGATTCCGCCGATTAGAGCAAGGATAGCAGCGATGATACAGAGAACGAACGCCCAGGATAAATTATGCTTGGACTGATCAATCACAAATATCAGAATGCCTAAGACGATCAAGCCGGCTGTAAAACAAACAGAAGAAAGATATATACGTGTACTGTTATTATAAACATACTAATTTACTAAGTACTTATTTTAGCGGGTTAGTCGCGCTGCATGCGTCTTATCCGCCAATTCAGCTGATAGATAAGATTAAATCAAGTACATACTATTATAAATGCTAGTATAATAGATATGATTGAATCAAGTATATACATACTATAGTATAAATTTTTCTCCAAGAGTGCTTTTATATGATAACGCTAATGAGATAATAGTGAACATTACGCTAGTGCCTAATTTAGCTTTGTCAAGGAAATCCACCTATCGACATAATTATGCAAAAAGTGGAAGATCCACAGGGGCATCTTATCCGCTCTGTTCTGTAGTACATATATAATAAATATAATATATATATAATAGAGAACAGAGCCGGTAAGATGCGTCTGTGGGTGAGCGTCACGTCCCATTGCTCTATTCGTCCTCAACTTTCGTAGTCTGAATTTCTGCAACGTGCAGACGGGCCATTTTTTAGAAACACATCGAATGCTTTTAAAAATGATTTTTTCTTGTTTACAATTAAAAAACCCCACACATCTATAAAATGTTCATGTAGTGGTTATACAGTTTTTGCTCCATCGGGTTACTAGTATATAAATTTGTGTTACAAATTGGCATTCATAAAATATTTATTATACCTGTTCATGTACATGGGTGTGTGTGTGTGTGTGTTAAACAGGGGAGTATACACTCTGCAAAAATGTATAAAAATTGGTATAATCTTTAGCAAATACAGAACAGTGCATTGTATCCCCCAAACTCATTAACTAAACATGTACATTTTGCATATACAGCATAGGAAATCCACATAAAATCTGCTCTTTGCATCGACCCACCCTCGCAATGAAAATACTTGATTCGCCCTAGATTATGTAGAAAATACCAACACACTGTAACTATAATACCAATGGGTAAAATTTTAGAATGCTTTTATCATGATAAGAAATGTAAAATCAAAAAAATAAATGCCTGGAATTGCTTGCCTCTTGTTAAAGTTCAAATATTAATTGCCGACCACGCCAAAGCGAAAGCACAAGGGAAATTTCAGAATGTTTTCAAGTTGTATCGAAAACCACAGAATAACTTTATAAACTGCAGGGAACCATTACCATGATTTATATATATATTCTAAACAAATCGTGACATCTTTACAAATTTCAGAGGCGAACGCAGTATTCTCTTGGAACATAATATGTAAACTTTATCATAATTTTCTGTGCTACAAATGCACTCAACTGTAAATAACCCTTGCATGCTATCACGCTAATAAACAACAAAAATAAGTATATAAAATTTTTGGCTTATGAGACACTTTATCAAATTTACGGGAAAAAAATTGCACACAATCATTCGACGTGTAATACACAGTATATCCTTGTTATACGGAGCGTGCATTCATCTGATATGAAATAATCGCGTGAACCTCAGATTCAGCTTCTGATAGAATGCACACACGGCATCTATTTACAGAGCAACCCCTCTCATTAAATTTCTCATGAATGTCTCATTGCGTTTCGTAGCAACAGAATCCCCTACATCTATCATACGTGTGGGTTGTAACCCTCTCGTGTCTTAGAAACGGGCACCTTGCATTATTTTCGATGCAGCTGTCAACACGTTACACCATAAGGTATAAACAACAGCAGAGAACACGAACGCTTTAGATTCACCAACTTCATTAAATCGCCTGGCGCCCGGTATCTCTCTTAGAGAAATAGACTAGGAACAAACGAAGGTATATAATCCTTTACTTAAAGCACAAAAAAATTGAACAAAGTGATCTCGGTACACTTCAAAACAAAGCACAAAACTTTTAAAGAAAATGCACTGAAGCTCTTTAATATTTAGATGAATATAATTAATCGATCTAACCTGCTACAAATGCGCAGATGGCGGAAGCCAGAACAAGTTGGAGGTTCGGACTTGCGCAGATATGGACCAGCAGCAAGATCAGGATGATGACCAGCAGTATAAAGGCAATCGTCTCAAAGGCGCGGATCGCGCCCATAGATCCGCCCCCTGAAATATAAAACATTCTTGTGAAGACATGGTTCTTTCATTACCGTACTATGTTCACTAAATATTATATATTGTCATGAACAAAAATTTCCGTGTTGTGTGTGAATGTTCCCAAATGAGTTACATTATAAAACAACTCAAAGGAAGTATATAAATTCTGTTTTCTTTTTTAAACATGAACTAAATTATTTTAAGCGATGAAAGGATGTAATTAGGAACTTCGTTTTGCTTGCTTTTTTAACCACTGCTCGCTTCATTGGTGACATCAATACTTTGCATTGGAAATTTAATTTCAATAACTTGAAGCCCCTTTGAATTATGTAGATGTTTTAAAGTTTAAAAATTAGGTCCGTAGAAGTAGTTTGTGCGTACAGAAATTTCTTGACATGACTTACTATTGTTATTGAGGGACAAGCTTAAAGCATTGGATTTCTAATTTCTATTGTAAATTATATAATAGTACATAAATATACAGCGTTTATAACACCCCTCCCTGTCCCTACGGCCGTCATAAATATTAAATAAACATGAATATGTATACCATAAAGTGCTGCATAAATACATGTATACTTCATAATTGTTGAACTGTGACTTACCTGACGTTTCATAGCAGCGGCCGGAGCACCATTGCCAGAGTCCATAATTTCCATTGTACCACGACACCCAGTAGGGGCAGGCGAACCCCAGAAGCTGACAGACGGCGGCCCCGATCAACAGACCCAAGGCCACCTTCAACAAAACGGACATCACCAACATGGCTGCAGCAAAACTATCAATATTATCTGGGACGATAGAAAATGCCTCTCCCTAAAGCAATGCTACACACAACAACAAACACTGAGTGCTGGCTACACACAAGATGAATCAGCGCCAAAGCGATCGCCGCCTACAAAACAATTTTTCTACGGAGCGCGCCCTTCCGTTGTAAATTCCATCCAAAAGGAACTTGTACATCTGATAAATTATTTCCTTCTCTTTCCTTATTGTTAAACACTATCTACTCATATCTGTTATTCAGAAAAATAATACCACCTCATAACACAGGGAGGGGGGAGAGGGCATTATCTCTGTTTTATGTCGTGTATATAAATGAATAAATCAATATCCTAGCCTGCTGTACGTATTAACGGTCAGAGAGAGAGAGAGAGATGGTTTTTTCAGAGATGACAGCGATTAAGTCTTTTGTGAAAATTTTGCTTTACTACACAGACATTGACAAATAGTTTACGTTTTATTTCTATTTTAGGACAGACTGCCGTATTAATCCTCACTGCATGGGTTGTACTCGTGGATTTTGTTCACAACTTTGTGAATAAATGTACTCTAAGAAGCATTAGTGTTTACTTGAAATTCCAAATCCGAACATCTAGCTATAACACCAATCCATCTCAATACGATGTTAAACCACAACAAAAGATTGATCTACGAACTACTTTTATCGTGTTTCTGTCGTCTGTCAAATGATTTGCATAAATTATATCCAATCGTTTACACTTCAGTTATTGCAGCATTGATCAATTCATGATGTATTTTTCAAGTGTAGAAAGATGTTCAAATCGTGATATAAATCTTAAATTTATTTTTTCTTGCTCTTGTCCCCTCTAGAGTAATAAAATGGAGACAGTTTACACATGCATCAGTGTAACAGCTGATATTATCCGAATGTAGCTCGAGGAAACTATGTGATATCGGATATTTATGGTACTTCAGTAAAAGTCATAAAATTTACAAGTCATCCTCTTAAAGTTGGACTCTTAAAGTTAACTTTTATCTTAAGCATTATCTAAAGCATTTAAAAGTGTGTATATCCTATCATTGATGGAAAAATTCAGAAAGCTTAAATAAAGTTATAAATTTTTTTTCCTGGAGGAGATTTCATGCATGTACTTGAAAATGATACGCATATACTATATACGCATATATAAATTAGTAGAGGAGCCACCTTAAGTATAGTGCAGATTTATGGATCACAGAACCAGTACAAGTACCTATCTTCATATCCCGAAAATTAAATGATCAATATAATTTATAATTAATCAATAATAATAATTAAATAAAAAATGTTAATTAAGTAAATTTGAAATACAGTGAATCCTCGTCAATCCTAAAGCTTCACATTCCGGAAATGTGTTTGGAAATTTCTACCAATTTTACAAAAGATGGTTTCAGTGGCCCGGACGCTTCACTAATCCGGACGATGAAGGGGGCTAGATTAAAGAGGCTAGACTGTATTAAAAATGAAAGCTAACTCTACGGATTGGACTTTCCTTTTGTTTTCCCCTCTTTTACGAAAAGGACATAAGCTCATATTTTTCTCATCGAGGTACCTTTATTGTCTTTTGTTTTTTGCGATCCACGCCCAAGTCAAGCAGAGTTAAGCCTTGTACTTACGCACCAACAATAAAATAGTCGTGCATTCATAAGTCATAATTAAAACGAAAAGAATGTAGAAGCAAGCAACTTACAAAAAATGTTTGAAGGAAATAACTAAGGATGCCTTCCTGTAAAGAACCGCTGGATAAAGTAAAACTAAGCTTTTGTTCGCTACTTGTAATAAAAACAGTAAAATGCGGAGGAGGGCATTGCCTACTTTGATAATTCATTTGAAGTGGGCTGATTTCTTAAAAGCCGACTCATACACTAGGAATCTGATCTTAAGTTTAGTAATATTTTCATCCGCCCCTCTCGCTGTGAGTAAACGAAACTCACCCCTTAAAAATCTTTGTTGTTTTTTTTAGGGATTAATCAACTCAATTTCGATGTTCGATGTATGTTGCTTAAAACATCTCAAATAAATTTTACAAAATCCTTTTTTTTTTTAAAAAAATGTCTATTCTATTGCAGATATAACTGATATATGAAATGTGGTATGCTTAATCTTGCAAAATGATATCATCAGCACATTCGTTTCCACAACAACAGGCAGCAACTTCACCAGAGGCCAACTCGTTGAAAGGGAGATAAGGCAATAAAAATTATCGTGAACAAAGATTACTTACGGAGTAATGGTTCATAGCGAGGAATATAAGTATGACAAAGATGAAATATATACAAAATTTAATTGGGAGGGGAATTGTACACATAGTATACGCTAGGCTATATTATTTGAATTATCTCACGTGTGTAAGATTATCATAACATATTATGCTTTCCAAGGATCGCCGGTTCCAGGCATGTATTATTGTTTTGGAAAAAAGAAGGGTGGTTGGGGGGCAGCCATAAAAAAAATGACATCTTACCTGAAAAACTTTGATAATAAAAAAGAAAATTTGTCCAAACTCGAAAATCTTATTTCTTTGGAAGAGGGGGAAGGTCCCAACTTCTTTCACAAGAAAATTTTATTCATACATTACCACATACCCCGATTTGACTTTAATACTGCGACAAAAAATTGCGGGGGGGGGGGGGGGAACCAGCCTTTCAATGAACATTTTTTATAACAGCAAAAGGTTAAGTTTCATAAAAAGTTGGGAGGAGACCCCCCCCCCCGATTCTACGTGCCTGGGTTCGATCCCCGAATGTGATTATTTTGTGTATACAGAGTCTGTGGTTAGATCGATTTTAACTCAAGGTATTTACAGTTTGCAATTAATTCTTTGGTATTTTAATGCAGCTGGAATAATCTGCCTTGTGAACTATTTAATAATAGAATAAATTGAAATAAAATAAATGAACTAGAATAAATTGAAATGGAATAAATTGAAATATACAGAGTATCTATGTATTATTCAATTTGTAACCAATTCAATCATTCTTAGCATTTTCATAGGTCATTTCACATACTTTAATTTGTATTTTATTAAGTATTAATTTAGAGAGAGAGAGAGAGAGAGAGAGAGAGAGAGAGAGAGAGAGAGAGCCGGATGCCTCATAGTAAATCATCTGTGATCGGCCAATGCCGTTCATCACAACTATTTTACATTTTCCTTCAATAAATCACAATTATCATATGTTTTCAGGTAGAAATCCCTACTATTTTCTTTTGAATACATTCCACTAATTTCAAGGGAGAGGAACTCGTAAGATGAAAACATACTTCTTCAAATATACCAAAACTAAGACCGCGGAACATTATAACTGGCAAAATTTGAAATATACAGCTTACATGTACGTCTTTTCCATCTGTTACAGTCAAAATTTAATGATAGTCTAGACAATGAAATGGGCGGGTACAGTTCGGCACGGACGTCCGAGAAAACACTGGAGTGAAATGCATTTTAAATCCACCTGAGCTTAACCCTAACCCTGACGTAGAGAGTGAATGTATGATCCAAAAGTCAAATAATTTCAATTCCCAAATACATGTTGTTTGAAATTCATATTTATCATTGTTTGTATGAGTTTAAAGCCTATGATTTTAAGGACGCGTAAAAGTCATAGAAGACAGAGATTATATTTTCAAGGGCTGGCTATTTGATTCTAGAAAGGGGGGGGGGGGTAAAAAATTGTCGAGTTAGATCCTGCCTTCACATGACAAAATATATTTATTTCTAGGATGACAAGAGGGTATTTTCTTTAGTTGTAGGGGTTGTCCAAACTAAAAAAAACTTTCTTTTATTTTTTCAAGATCGTTCAGCCCCCTCCACCCCGACCCCCCCCCCCCTCAACACATGCATGCACATACCTAACAGAAATCAATATTTGTCCCTATATATTTCTTTAAAAACACGGGTCAGAAAATCTGATTTATATATTTGAACTACAAAATATATTCCGAAATTGAAATTATTTGTCTTCCGGGTCAGTAAGAACTCATTGCTTTCTAGAGTAGCTGAGGTGGATTGAAAATGATTTTCAAACTAGAATTTCAATCCTATGTTTTCTCGGACGTCCGTGCCGAATTGTACCCGCCCATTCCATTATCATTAAATGTTTTGATTGTAACAGATGGAAATGACGCAAGCTGCATATTTCCAATTTTGCCACTTAATGTTCCGAGGTCTTAACGAATTTGGGGCGTGTTTGATTCTCAAACGTCCTTGCAATATCATGAACTAATCCTTAAAAACCAATCCTTAATATTCGAGGAAAGGAAAAAGAAAATGTAGGAAAGAAAAAATCACGACATCAGTGTGTTCAGTTTGAGGTCAGTGGTCTGAGCAATATCAGTTAATCGAACACATCCGGTAAAAAAAAATAGAACTCATGCCAATTTTTACAAACACAGGTGTTTGGTGTAAGATCATGACGAATGCTATTGTCATTTAATTGTAAATTCAAATCATTAAACTGAAGTATATATTATAAATAATTTAATTTTTGTTGTAACGCGTCATTTAATTGGATAAAAAATTACATGTAGTTTATATCGTATAACCTGTGTTGCCTACGTCACAATGAATTACGTCAAAACGTTTCAATCCGCTTGGCGTCACTTTTAAAACATGTTCAATTTGAAGGTATTTTTGAAGGAGAAATTGTTTTATTTGCTAGTTATGCTTAATAATGAGAAATTAAATTATAAGGAATAAATTTAATATAACTACCCTGTAAATTAAATTATAAGGAATAAATTTAATATAGCTACCCAGTAAATTAAATTTTAAGAAATAAATTTAATATAACTACCCAGTAAATTAAATTATAAGAAATAAATTTAATATAGCTACCCAAGTTATACTGATATAACCTGGGTTGAAATAGTTTACGCTTTTTAATAAACCGCGAAGCGGTTTTTAAAGCGTAAACTGCCCCAACTATGGTGTCCGGATAGGGCCATTTGCAAAAGCTCAACAGCGCGTTCAGAAAAACACGCCGTCGCGCTGACACACAACACGCTGTCACGCTAACACAAGTTCGCACAACACGCCGTCGCGCTAACACACAACACGCTGTCACGCTATCACACAACACGCCGTCGCGCTAACGCAACTTTACACAACACGCTGTCTCGCTGTCACA